ATATATATATATATATATATATATATATATATATATATATATATATATATATATATATATATATACACACACACACACACACGTATATAGTTCGTCAGTCGAAATCGACCTTGACCACCTTAAGCATCGTATTTGTGATAATTGTGAACTTGGCTGTGGGTGCGCAGATGGCTAATGAGACCAATTCTGGCACGAAATGCTCTTGTGTGGTAATATTTGGGGATCGATGAGAAGACATTTCCAGGTACATAGCAACCCGGGCTTTTCTGGCATGTCTTTTGTGCTTTTTAGCAGCTGTTCTGATGGATTCATGTTGTATGGAGCCTGTGTGTACAGAAGAACGCCACGATGTTCGATCTTTTGGCGATTCTTCCCCCATGTGTCCTGGTCTTTGTCGAACGCATATACATGCACACACAGATACACACACACACACATGTTTTGTGAGTGCGTGTTTTGGTGTGAAGATTACTTGTGTAGCTTTTGCTATGTGCTTTGTAATCGAAACGTATACTTTTTTGTTTACGTCCAAATATAAAACAAAATATCATTCAAACGTGGCTTAATGGACGTGCGGTCACAACCTGTGTCACATGAAATGCAAAAACGTAATTTACAGCCTTGATGACACTATCCTTGACCTTATCCATCTTTAAAGTTTTTGCGTAAGGATATTTCACCATACATACATTTTGGGAGACAATTACATCGTCCTCTACTTCTATTAAGTTTACAAGTCTCTCTCTCTCTCTCTCTTTTACCTATAATACCAGCGGCAAATCAATACATATACCAGATGTTTTCAACCCACAAAAAAAAATATATAATAATTATAAACATAAAGAAAAATCACTTTAACGTAATTTTCGCTGATTCGTATTAATGTGTGCCTTGTAATAGAACTAAAGAAGCCATTTCTTCGGTAATATTAAGTTCGTTATCAAGTATAATAATAATAATTCCCAACGCTCAATAAAGTTAATATAGTTTAATCCCTTTTAAGTCGTTTTTACGGCTTAACCACCTAAACTAAAGCTTTTGCAGTAAAAAACAAATGATACTATTGTTTAAATTTAAAAAAAAACCGACAATGTATCTTTTATTTTGCAATTTAGCCTACTATTAGCGATGCCCGTCTTGGGTGGGGGGGGGGGGGAGAAGATTCCAGAGTGCACTCCAGAAATCCACCAATGCTTGCTAGAACAACAAGTCGGAAAACAGCAAGGTGGGTAACGAACGAATGTGTTCTTTTGCGTGCTTTTGGTGCGTACGTGATCAAACGCGTGAATTTTAAAAAAATATATATTATGCACCTCTTCCCGTATTTTATACGCACAAAATTTTTGCGTTGCCCCAGCTAGTAGGCCTACATGTAATAAAATTGCCAACTGAGCTGTATTAGTTGCCTACCTGTATTTGCCTACCATCAAAAACTTTCGCCTATCTTCAAAGCATAACATTAGTAGCTCCACATCAACTCTCCAAACCTTTTTAATTTTCATATTTCATCTATTCGCCTGGTGAGGCAAAATAAGTGCAAAATAGAATCCGTTTGAGTTATTTTTTTAAAAGAAATTTGTTTTAAAAGATATTATAAATAAAGGTAATTTTGGTCACAATCTCATACCATTAGGGGCCCGTGGGTTGGACTCTCCTGTCGTTGTAGGTTTACATATCCCATCCACCCAGGGTGCTGTTGGTGTTTTTGCTTTTCTAGGAGTTTGCTGGAGTTAGAGCGCCACTCAACAATCTTGGGCTTGTCTCAGTTGAGACCGCTCGGCCACCCAGCACCCTACTCGGTTGAGACCACTCGGCCACCTAGCACCCTACTCGGTTGAGACCGCTCGGCCACCCAGCACCCTACTCGGTTGAGACCACTCGGCCACCTAGCACCCTACTCGGTTGAGACCGCTCGGCCACCAAGCACCCTACTCGATTGAGACCGCTTGGCCACCCAGCACCCTACTCAGCGGAGACCGCTCGGCCACCCAGCACCCTACTCGGTTGAGACTGCGCGGCCACCCATCACCCTATTCAGCGGAGACCGCTTGGCCACTGTTGTGAGCGAGAGTTGTTGTGAATGTTGGGTAGGGGG